ATCCCTTAATGACACTTCACCGTGTAAAGGATCAAAAAAAAAAAACTTCAGCAAAAAAAAAAAAAAAAAAAAAAAAAAAAAAAAAAAAAAAAAAAAAAAAAAAATTAAAAAAAAAAAATTTAGGAAAAATATATAATTTAACCCCTGACGAATTGCGTTTCTAATTGAACTTTTTTTCTAAATTTCAGTTTCTTTCTTCTATGTGGTAATAGGTATGGAAAGAGCTTAATGTCATAGGCCAGTCTCTTCTGATTAACTTCAACTACACAAGTACCTAATAAATAGTTGAAAAAAAATTAATAAATTAAAAAAAAATAAATAAATAAAAAAAAACTAATAAATTTAAAAAAAAGTTATTATTAAAAAAGGTAATGAATTTAAAAAAATTAAAAAATAAATTATAAATTAATAAAGGAAATCAATTTAAAAAAATAATCATAGATAAAATGTACACTTACTTAGCTCGTGCCATTGGTTTCGTGAGCAATGCACTTAGACAAGCGTCCATTGCTTCGGGATCTTTTGCCTCGCGACACAGTTTCTGCATGCTGGCGTACACAGCCTTTGAGCTAGAGCAATCGAACTCCATACCTAAGCTGAGTAATTTTTCACGCAAGTTCTTCATCGATTTCGAAAGTGGTGGACCGTGATTACGTAATATGGATATGTCAGGGAACCGATCATATATAAAACGCGCGACTGATTGGTTCGCCAACAACATAAATTCTTCAATCAGAAAGTTCGCCTCTTGTCGACTATCCAACTCATAGCTTAAAGCTTCTCCGGTTATGGGGTCTAAATTGAAGCGTATTTTCGGATTATTGATTGATAATGCACCACCATCAAAACGCTTCTGGCGTAATATTTCAGCAATTTTATTTAAAATTTGTATACGTGGGCATATGTCTTGAACGGTGAAGCCGTTGCAAATCGTGGGAAAGTCGTCAATGCCAAAATCTTCATTCGGATTGTCGATCACTTTTTGTGCGTGTTCATAGGCTAGCTGGACGCATGAATTGATAACTGTGCGCGTAAAACGCGGTTGACCAATAATTTCACCATGCTTATTTATACGCCAAAAAACGGAAAACGCAAATTTATCTTCGCCTGGCAGTAGTGAGCACTTAAAGCACAATGTTTTAGGCAGCATGTGAATAACTTCGTTTACCAAATATATTGATGTAGCACGTTCTTTGACAATATTATCCAACTCACTATCTTCTTGTAGGTAATGAGCTACATCGGAGATATGAACACCAATTTCATATATGTCGTCGTCCAAACTCTCCACGGAGACAGCATCGTCCAGATCACGGGCTGTGAGGGGATCAATTGTGAAAACACATTTTTCTCGCCAATCTTCCCGAAAACGTAAGTCAGCTGCGCTTATAGGTGAGTCTGGCTGCGCATACTGGTCATTGAAATGCTGCTCAAATGGTTTTATGTTCTTCAATCCATTATGTAGTAGGATGGCTTTCAATTCAGCTTCTACATTACCAACTTTACCAACAGGTTGTAGTAATTCTCCAATGCAGTGTCCATTAATGTCCGTTTCAATAACTCGCACCAAATAAAGCATACCGCAAACGTCGCCTTGATTTTCTGTTGTTATATGCGAAGAGCATTTGCTTTCTGGAATATAAACCATTGGTACACGCATGTCATGTGGTTTTAGTTTGTAATAACTTATTTCATCATTCAATTTCATGGAATTTTTGAAAGAAATAGTTCCGACAAGTTCACGTAATGGCGTTTGTTTTACTATAGATATCACAAACGATTTCGGGCAATTATCTGGAACAGCAATGGCGGAAGCATCCATTTCAGCATCGTTTTCTGAATCAGGTGATTCCGTATCTTCGAACGGATCCTCGTCATCTGCTACAAAAGGAATTAGATAATCAAATTTAACATGGTATCTTACAAGATAAATAAATAAAATTAAAAAATATATATATAATAAATATATATGTATATACCTAAAGAAAGTGAAGTTTCTTTCCCACCAGTTACTGACGCTCCTTCGACTTCCGTTTTTCTTCCTTCCTTAGCTACTGTGTCGGTTGGTGAAGAAGTTGGCGTAGCTCCTACACCCATATTCATAACGAAAGCGCGCACTATGTCTCCTTCAAAGGCATAGCGTCTAGCTACTGGCAACAATATTATGCCATCACGTTCGGTACCTTCTCGGTCCGAGGACATTGTAATAAATGATTGACGATTATTCTTACGATTAATGCGTATTTCTTCCTCAACTATACGTCCTATTCCCGCTTGCACTAACGTTTGGGCATACGATTCTAAATCATCAAAAGTTCCTTTGAATTCCAACTCATCCGCCTTTTTCTTTTGTTCCGGGCCGAAATATTCGGATACAATATTATTCAAATATTTGCTTAAAGATTCTATCTCGCTTTTCTGATTTTTCGATTCTTTGGTTAGCTTATTTTTGCGTTTACGTTGACTACGTTTTCGGTTAGCTTTTTGTACGCTAGCGTTGTCATTTACAGAAGTTGTATCTTTTTGTGATGTTGTTGTACTGGCATTAGAGACCTCTGATTCCTTTCTTTGTTTGGCAGTCAGCAATGGTTGTGCTTTTCTACTAGTAGACGCAGATATTTCACTTGCTGTAAAAAGCTTTATTTGCCGAAGCTTAGGATTACGATGCGCAAGTGTTAGAACACGTTCCTTAAGTTGTGGATTTTTAATAGTTAATTGATTTAGTAACTCATGCAGACCTTCAACTTGCTCTTGTAGATCTCCAACCTTCTTTTGCAATTGCTTGCGTGACGAGTACTGAGCTTGTACTTGCTCAGTTTTTAATTTTCGATTATTTTCACTTACAGAAATTGTCGCTATACTGTTATTTAGTGAGTTAGTAGTGTTGGATTGTAATGATTTCATTGCATGTTCTGCTAACGTGTCATTAATTAGAGAAACCTCCGATATATTTGTAACAGCCGTAGCATGTTGTTGCAATTTATTACGGTGGATCCCCAATTTATCACGAAGGTTTTTTGTCTTTTCCTGAAGAGTGGCAATTTTTTTAGATAAACCTTGTTTTTTTACAGTTTTGTGTCTTGAGCTGGCTGTATCCGTTTTCTCAGAATCGCGCGATAGCGGTATATTATCGCATTCCACCTGTGGCATTATTGGCGCCTCTTCCACCTTGCATTTATTTAAACATTCATCGTTTAACTTTTCCCGTGAGATCGTGTTAATTGCTGCATCTTTTTGCTCTTTGCCAACACCATTATTTTCAATGATACCTTCAAAGTTATTTTCGCACTTCTCATCCACTGTAATATTTTCGTCGTTTTCCTTCTGTGTTTCCACATCTTCTACACAATCCTTATCCATTTTTGTTTACTTAAACACACTTGCAATTTTTATATGAATTTTACAGATTATATATTACTGTTTTCAAATAATGAAAAGAAATTCGGAGACTCTACGTAAATTTACACAATATGTATGTTTCCAATGTTTTCATCAAATGGGCTTGTTTGTTTTTCCTTTTTTCTTTTTAACTTTTTGACGTTTTTCCTCGAATTGTGAAATAAAAGCTTCCAATAGCGGTTTAAATAAATGTAACGCCGTCAAAACAAAAAAATATTTCAGTCGTCTATTATCGGTGTGCAATACTAATATTTTTGATCATGCGATTTCAACAGAAATGTGTCTTAAGGAATTTGCACACGTTTCGTATGAAACATTAACAATACTACATATGGAAAGACTAACAACTAAATTTCAAAGAAATAAAATTAAAACTGATCTGAATATAAATCTGTGCAATATAAATAACAATATAAATTTTTATACTATACCATTTCTAAGTTTTGGTTTTTATTGCAAATTAAAAAATTGCCACACGAATTATTCGTAATGTAAATAGGGCAGCACCTTTCGTATAGGGTATGTTCAACCTATGTTTATTATTTTGCGCGCCAATTTCCATCATTTGTCATAAACTGCCAACGGATGCATAGAGTAATGTGATTTTCTAAATTATTTCGGATTTTTTAAGCTCGCTCTAAATATTAATGAAACAAATTTGCAGATGTAATTCAATGAATAATTGTTAATCGAAAAGCTAGTGTAAAAGCTTTGATGAAGGTGTGTGACTGACCTTTTTCTGGTTAGTAGCATTTGTCAATGCGATAGGAAAGTTTTATAGATTATATTTTTATTTGCATAAACCCGCATATTGATGTGAAAATAGATTCCCACAATCTCGCTTGTTGCTTTATTAATTATTTCCTGAGTAAAAGGCTTAAAATTTATATGCTTTGCTTAGTTTTTGATAAAAGAAAGTGTAAAAAATGACTGCTTTAAATACAATTGTGGTAAATAATTTTATAAGTGCTACTGAAAGCGGTAATGAATCTATATTAGTTTCCGCTGATATCCAAAATGGTGAACGTTCTGTTGTTAGTGTAGGCACTTCTGAAAGCGTTTCTAAATTTATTTTAAAAGCCCCACGTCCGGACTCGAAACTCATTCTACAAAATATGGAAGAAGTGTTGAATTCCGTAAAAAAGAAACATCGACAAAAACACAGAAGAAAAAGGGAACAGAAGAAACTTGCACAAATGGAAGCAGCAGCTGTAGCTGTGGCAACTGCAGAATTAGACAAAGTGGCTGAAGATGAACAAAAGGTTATCAATAAATCGAAAGGTAAAAGTGCATCTAAACATGTCAAAGAACAGGGCAAGCGCTCAAAAACAAAACCATTACAAGAGAAGACCGCTCAGGAAAACGGACAGGGAGGCTCACCTGATTGTGCTCAAAGGAAAAAATCTCAAGATAATAAAAGTCCACTAAAGAATGCTTCCATAAATGGAGATATACTGCGTCACTTTCAACGAACTCCAAAGAAAAATCAGCAGACTACTGATCATTTAGGAAACAAATCGGATGCAAAATTAGTTCCTAGTGAAGCATCAACTGCGCTAATTCAGCAAAAAGCAATGAATGCATTTGAGGTTATGATGAATGCCAGAAATAAAGCAATCGGTTCAAACACACCTGGAAAAGAGACCTCACCAACAATAAGCCAGGAATCAGCTGTCAATACCAAACGTAAGTTGATTCTTCAGGAATGGGCTGACAAAAAAGGTGGCATAAAGCGTAAATTGGATGAAGAAGCACGAGCTGCATATGTTGATCAACAATTGGAGAACCGTGCGAAGCGGTGAGTTTATAATAATTAATATAAATGTGCACATTGATATTTACTTTTTATTGTCTATAAAGGTTCAAGCAGATGCTTGTGAATGGTGCTTCGCCTAAAAAGGATAACAGCTTCACAAGTCAAACAGCAAGTCATAAAATGAAATCAAAAAGAGGCGATTCGATGGGTGCGGCCACAAAACAGTATAAAGATAAAGCTAAGTGCAGGAAGCGAACAATACTGCGACCCGATTCGACTGATTCAGTCGATGAGCGAATAGAAAATGCAAAGACGGACTCGGAAACAGAAGAGTTTTTATCTAAACTTAATTCCCCGACCAAAAAACGAGATAGCCTTTTAGGATATTTTCCGAGAAAAGAGTCACCGAAAGATCTAGCTGCTAAAACATCAAAAGAGGTTTTAGGAAAAGACAAAAGAAACTCTAAAACTGAAACTCCAAAGTCACGCAACCGGCGGTGTACTAAAAATAGTACCGAAATAATGGTTGTATCTACTACACCTGTAATAGAAAGCAGTGTTGAGGCAGTACAACCTAATCAGGGTGAATTGGAAATTGAAAACACACCTAGTAGTAGACCAAAACGTTCTTGTGCGGGAAGAGCTCGTTACGATTACGACTTAGAAAAGAGTCCGACTAAAATTTCTTCGGCTAAGAAATGTGTTTCGGCTTCGAGAAAGTGTGAAACAGCAATAGATGTAGAAATAATAAATTTAGACGATAGCAATATGTCAACTCCAGAAAAGTCGAAGAAATTGGCCCCCCTTTTCGTACGTTCACTGCCGAAACCTAGTCCAGATCCAGTTGCACTAAAGGCGAAGCACGATTTCCTTATGTCGGGTGTGCCTGAGAAAATGCGCATAGAAATTGAAAAGCAAAAGCAGTACGAACAAAACTATGAAGAGGTGCTGGACTATTTTCCTCGTATTTGTCATGTTCAACAGTTAAATGCGGACGAGGCGTTATTTTTACAAAATAAAATACAATTTACTATAAAATTAAAATTGTATGAGAACGATTTAGAGCTGAGCACAATTGTCGAAACAGAAATAATGAAAAAATCGAATACATGTAAGCGTAGATCTCGGAACAATTCAGGTAGCACAAAACAATTTATAATTAACAAAACACAACCACCTCCATTTGAAGCATTATTGCCAACACTTGAGAATAAAAGGTCAATAATAAAATTGTGGAAGTCGCAATTCGATCGGTTTCCCACATTTAAATGTTACAATCAAATGCGCGAAAAATATCGATATTTTAGTGCTTTGGACGCGGCACAGGATATGGAACAAGTGAGCGAATCATTTGTGGTGACCCGTCGAACGCAACGGATACGAAGTTTAGAACCAACAGGTGCTACTTCTGATCAAGATGAAGTGAAGCCACCTCCATCTGCCCCCAATGGTGAACTTTTATTCACTGAAAAGTATAAACCCATGCTCGTTGAACAGGTGCTCGTAAATCTCGTGCCCGTAACACAATTGCGTGACTTTCTTTCTACTTGGGCCAATGGTAGTGGCGGAAGTGCTCGTAATTCGCAATCAATTGATGATTCATTTGATGTGTCTAATGACTCAAACTCCAGTCTCAGCAATGTAACCGGCAATGCTGTGGTACTTCTGGGTCCGGTATCAAGTGGTAAAACCAATGCAGTTTACGCGCTTGCAAATGATATGAATTTCAATGTTCTCGAAATAAATGCTGGCATGAAGCGAACTGGAAAACGTTTGATACAAGAGCTACAGGTTAGTAATATGTCCATAATATATGTATATGAATATGTCATTATTTTTAGGAAGCAACACAATCACACCAAATTCGTAAGGACTCGACGCCCACACAAAGTTCTAGTAAAGCTCAGAAAAACTTACTCCGCATGTCACTAAATGGAAAAAAGCTAATGAAACAAAATTCTCAGAGTCACATTGATGCTGATAGCAATGCTGGCTGCAGTGGAGATGTGAATCAAAATTCGCGAAAGTGTCTTATTCTTATCGAGGATGCGGACGTGGTATTTGATCAACTAGACAGTGGTTTCACTGATGCCATTTACACATTGGCAGCTTGCTCGAAACGTCCTGTCATTGTCATGGCCACGAATCCCAATTGCCAGCACCTCCAACGACTAATGAATCAGAACACAATATATTTTACGCCGCCGAATGCTCTGAATATATCCCGCTTCATGGCTGTGCTCTCACTGATAGAAAATTGTCCTATTAATTTGGATGACTTACTTTCACTATATTTGTACAATAGAAAAGATCTGAGAAGAACGCTGCTGGAATTGCAGTTTTTCATTCAAAGTGGTGGTGATCGAACGAACATGGTTTTAGCACCAACTGGTGATGTGAAAACTCCGTCACATCATCATACACCACAAAAGGAAGAGGCGGCCAAACGTGATTTGGGTTTTTTTGCATCGCCAACCAAACGAAGTCTATCAGTTGAAGACAGCACGCAGCAACAACAGGAACCTGATGAGCAACTTAGCAAAGATCGACTGAATAAGCAAGGGTGTAGTAAAGAGAATGATGTATACATTCATCGTTCAATGTTTGAATTTTTCACTGTCAACCAGAACGAAAAATGGCGCATACCCTTTCCTGTCGATTTCAGTTTATTACGCGTAAACTTAACGGACATATTTCAGTGCTCAAAGCGATTGCTATTACAAGAAGGCAATTCAATTGAGAAAGCCTTCAAACTCAGTGATAATGACGAGGACAAAAATAGCGTAATTAAACGCAGAACACGTACACCAAAGAAGACTGCGCTTAACAGTTCGCTTACCAATGCTGAAGTATGTCAACAGCATAAAACTACGTCATCACTTGAAGTTATGTGTGATTTTTACGAAAGCATTTCCATAGGCGCATTATTAGGCATGCACAATGCTGACATGTCGGATGACAATAGAGGAGTTGGCCGAGGTTTAATCACCGGTAGGAGTGCCGATTTGAGTGTCGACCGGTTACAGCCACATCTCTCCGAAGAAATTGCGCATGAGATTGTTGAACAGGCGATAAAAGTGAATTTGGCGGCGAAACCGTGCCCTTACAATCTCTTCGATACGCCGAGAGAACGGTGAGTTTTACAATTATAGTTTGAATTACGTAAATTAGAAATGACACGACTAAAATGGCTATATATATTATAATTGACCCTCAAAAAATGTATAGACGCTTTCTTAAGATGCTTTAGTAATTTCAATGAAGTCGTTGGTAGCTTTGAACAATTTTCTACTAACTTTATTATTTTGTGAATTTCGAAAGATTTGCAAAATATTACAATTATAAATATCTATTTCACATTTAGACTCTCCCTATGTGACTACATGAATAGCACTGCCGTCAGTTCTCGTAGCCAGCGTACACGCGCCTTAGATGTGGAACCGGCACTGCGCGCCATTTGTCGCAGTGAGAAGCAACGCGCCACGCACGAGCGGCGCTCAACTCGCTTCTATCATTACCTAAGGCACAGCGCAATTAATGTTTCCAATTTTTCAACAACACCCTTTGATAATGCCTGTACAATCTTGGTAGATGCAGCGCCAGAGGACGTGGAAGCCCAGCTTTAAAGTGTTGAAGACTGACGAGGAAGCTTAGTTTAAAATTTTCAATTGTCCCTACAACTGACATTATTGTATATTGTATAGAATTTTACTAATCTCGGTATGCAGAAAAATGTTGCTTTTGCGTTATGAACAAATTGCGGTGGCACATTAGCAGAAATAACTTGAAATTGACAGCAGCAAAACTAGTATAAATATTACATAATTATTAATTGTATTATAATGTGCATTTATTGGCATTTAACACTTATTAACTAAATACAATAAATTAATTTTTAACTTGTAACGTAAACTACGTATATTTAATTATATTATGTACATAAGTACGAATTCAAACAACATTATATAATGTAAGTGAAGCTAATAAATAACAAATTTTTAATTTTACCCCTTTGCGTCTTCAATTCGTACATTTGCACCTCGCACTGCACGAATTCGTGCGATCAGACCGACATAAATGTTTCGCTATGAATATGACTTAGTATGAGTGAATTCAGTTTAATCACAGTCAGGCAGACTCTCCCAAATTGATCGCCTCTTTTTTTTTTTATTCAACAACAAAAGAAAAATTTAATTCGTTTCTTTTCCGATGCGGAAGAATTTGCTTGCTGTTGTTTCTGTTTCTCATTTAGATCAATGTCTGCGGATGTCGGCTGTGTGCTGAGTACTTGCATACCCTGAAAATGGAAATAAAAGTATGAAATTAGAAACAATTTTCAAATGTATTTTCGTTATCTACGTGCGCGCAAATATCTCAGACTTAACTATGCGAACTATGACTGTTTATTCTAATTAATTTCTAATCTGCAATATCTATAGCTGCATTCACACCAACACCACTATTCATTTCAGTTAAAACAAGAAAAACAGTTAACTGCGCCTTCAGAGAAACTTTAATACCCTTTATAACAGCATTTATCATAGTAAAAAGTAAAAAAGGGTATAAAAAGACCTTTATCGTGATTTCGAACGGCGAGTTTATATGACAGCTATATGCTATAATGGTGCGATCTGAACAATTTGTTCGGAGGCTGTAGCACTGCTTTGTACAATAATACAGCTGAATTTCCTGAAGATATCTTGAGAAATAAAAAAGTTTTCTATACAACGACGCTTTTGATAACTATACGTTACGGTGGTTTCTTGCGGAGAAAAGAACGTGTGAAAATTTTCAGATCGATATCTCAAAAACTAAGAGACTACCTCACTTCTTTCACATGAATTGGGAGAGTATTTTCGGTCGTTACAGCAACAACGAATAGTTAAGACTGTTTTATGTGTATTTAGCGCAACAGGTTACTTGTGTTCGAGTACATATTCAAATTAAAAATATAGTAATTCTACCTCACGTAACATGGTATTCAGCACAGTACTGATAACTGATAGTATCTATGTAAATATGTGCATATGTACATATTTGCAGCAGCTACAAATACTACAACTCTCACTGTTAGATAATAACTTAAATACTGTCTGCTTACATCCAAACAAACACATTTACATATATGTATGCATAATGATACAAATCAACTGTCACTAGGCTACACTGTGGCAAGGTACGTTTAATTAGCACTATGTCCGTGCCTGAGTTGCGCAAACATTCAGCTCTCAGGGGGACTTTCCGGAAATCAGCGAGTGTGCATAAATTGTCTCCTGATAAGCAAATACATGAATTCGATTTTAATTGTCGTACCTCTTTTCTAATCACGCCTATTTTATACGACTTCATTTCCTTAATGGCATCGGAGGAATGACCAACTTGATTGAATGCTTTTGTGGCGTCTTTACCCGCATATTCGAGTATGGACTCTGCACCACCCGGATGCTAGAAATAAATAAGATGCAATTACAGATTAATCAAGTGATTCAAAAACATAAATTTTTTCAGATTTCGGATAAATTTTGACTTATATTAAAAGTATTTATGCACAGCCTAAATCAAAGAACCAGGAATTCTTGAAATGTGATATACATATATTATTGAACCGCTACTATATTATGTGGAGGCAATAACAAACCATGTAACCTAACCTCAAAACATTATATTACTGTGTCATAGCGACAGTCGGGTCTAGGTAACCGAGACAGATCGAATTTTTATTCTGGACTGTCAAATCAGTACCATTCCTCGAAATTACTTCAAGAATGTTTTATGCCACTGCAACAACAACAACCACTTTCTCTATGCGAAGCCTTTTCAAATTATAATTTTGAGTGCATTCTTAAATTACTTCGAGGTTGTGGAGAAAAAAAACTGTAATTACTATGTTTTCATTTTGAAAACGAAATTTTTAAATTAAAATTAAAGGAATTTTTCTTTTCAGAAAATTTTCTAAAAATAATTAAGGTTAGTTTTGAAAGTAATGTCGACGAATTATTGATATTACTTAATGTATTAAATTTCTCCATAAATCCTCAATGTAATGTAAACCCTTCTTTACCTTATATTCACTTTCTGGTTCATATTTAAACTGTGTTTTTATAATTTCACTCTTATTAAATGTTCCCACTTGCTATATATACATACTTCGTTTATGAACTTCGTCACGTCGTAGACGCTCTCTTTGTAAATAATCCACACAGGCTTGCCATCGCGACCGTTGTTCTGTGCCACCTCACTAACACTGTACTCCTGTGACATGTTTACTAAGATTACACCAACAACAACAGTAAAAAATAATAACTGTATATTTTCGAAATCGAATGGCAATTCCTCGAGTGTTGCACGTCTTGACGCGATCGGATGCCCACATCAACTGACATCGAACCAATTTGAATGTAGAGTCTTTTATTTACATTCTACAACAGGAGTTCCGCCAGCCCATTCGATGCCAATTAATACAGATATTACTGTATATACATACGTCCATACGTATTTCTGCATTTCGAAGCGATAAGAAGGTGTTTACGTCTGTTCGCTGAACTTATCATCAAAGCCTTTTGATTTCATATATATGTATCGATGGTTATAGACAAGCACTTCGTTATATTCATACATATGCCCACATGTCTGTATGTATGTGTGCATATTTTTGTTATCTCCACTTTCTGCAAATACGGCCTTATTTAATCACAAGTGAGTTCATAATGATTTACAGTTATATTGCAACATCGGAGTTTCGTCCCAAAATAGCCTCTGGTTGTATTTCCTTACTGTGGGTTTGTCATTTTTTATTGTTGCTTCGTTATCATTTTCATGCTTACCGCAAACTTACGGCATGTCGAGATTCTTTCCACAAAAGGGGGCGTTTCGGCGTTGACACTAATTTTTCTCCGAAAATATTTACTCATGATGATTCATAGTGATCATTTACCAATACACACAACGCAATTACGTAAGTGTTTATGCAATCCGCAAAACTCTTCCGCTTTTCTTGCGGATGCGATACCTGTTTTGTAGCGCAAAGTTAAGTGCTCAAAGTGGTTTAGTGATTCCTACTATGTCCTACCATTATGAAAAACGTATGTAAGTTTGATCGCAGCAACATGAAAGGAGTCGTTTTCTTTTTAATGTTGACCTCCGCAAGAAATGCCAAAGACGTACTTAATAACAAGAAAAAACCTCTCGCAAAATCCATATAAACTTTGCCAACATCAAGGAGAGACGGTCAGCCAAGCATCTGTGATCAGAGTGCAGACTAAGACAAGCTTAAACTAAGACTTACCGATCTAAACGGGGTTAGATCTCCGAAATAACAGCCCTTGGCCGGAAGAAATCCGGGCCAATTCCGGTGCGTGGAATTGGTTGGTATGGGAATTGGGCAGCTTCGTTCTGGATAATATAGCGAGTTAAACTCCGATATATCTAAAATGTGTCCTGTGTGCAATGAGTCTCCGCATAACAATGGCCACCTCTTTGCTTGCCCCACAAATCCCACTCATCTGACACCACATTACCTTTAGTCCGATACCGTCGAAACAGCATGTTTCTTGGCCGTACCGTTGGATGACGTCCATGACCACATATGTACATAGCTAATCCTTACCATAATAATCCCCGTTATTATACCCGTACCCAACAACAACAACATTCTGGAGACCAAAGAACTTATGTGTGTGGTTTGTGATAGAAAAGCTTTGACTTATTTTCCCATATTTTGGTTATTTTGGGTTAACTTCTCCGCTTACGCCAAATTTCACCGGTTTTGAATTACTTATTTCAAAAGCTGAGACTTTTTAACCACCCACGTTCTGTTAAACCTCGGAGAATCACGGTTCGTCTATTTCATACTTCCACTTACGGCTAAAAATGACGACTGTATTGTATATGTACTTGGTGCAGAACCTTTCTGCGATTCAGTGATGCAACTGCGCCATTTTCTAGGCAGCTCCCCCGACAGTAAATTCAACTTCCAATTGTTAGGTTGCAAGTTAGTGGGCCAGTCCGACGAGGGGCGGCAGGTATAAGTCTTAGCAGTCAGTATTTGCTCGGCGTTTGTTTAAAAAGTTGTTTTTTTTAACTTAGATAACGGGATATTCTAAATATTGTTTATATTTATTATCAGCACGTTCGCCTAAATCAGACAGATTGTGATAGCCAGCATTAATTGACGTATTATTCCGATAAGAATTACGTGACAGTTCGTGTGTAAATTATCGAGTGACAAATGCTAATACGGGCTGAAATTCGTAAGTATATGCCGTACTCGTATTTATTATATTTTGGACAGGCATATGGTGGACGTGTGAATAGTGTTGACCAATGGCAATCGACGTGACTACCGCTCATTTAAAAAGGGCATTTTTGGGAAATCCCAATGTTCAGTATTGTGCTTTCAAGTGCTTGTATTTAAAATTATTATGCCCTGAACAGGGGGGTCTCTCGTCCGAGATTGTTTTCGTCTTTTCATTGGGGATTTTACGTGACGGGCGCACAACCCTGAGAACGGATAGTTCGCCTTCTGAGTTTAGCACGCCTTCAAACGGATGTTCTTTGTCTACCAAGAGGATACTTGGTCTAAGATCGGAAGTCGTGAGCTACTTGAGCCGTATGTAAGAGTTTCTTTTCTGGCCACTCCTAAGTGAATGACACTGAGAGAATTTTCCTCACTTCCGTGAACTTTTACACATAATTCCATCCTCCAATTCGAGCTGTAAAATTAAATAGAGACAATACCATCTTCTAAAAGAGTGTACAGCTGCCGGCATACGCCGATGATATTGATGTCATTGGCCTCAAATCCGCGCCGTTAGTCTGCTTTCTGCAAAATAGATAAGGAAGCGAAGAAAATGGGTCTGGTAGTGAACGAAGGCAAGACGAAGTATATGTCATAACTTCGAAGTCGTAGATAATTTCGACTATCTTGGAACCAGTATTAACAGCAAAAATAATGTCAGTTTCGAAATCCAACGCAGAATAACGCTTGACAACATATTACTTCAGACTGACTAGGCAATTGAGAAGTAAAGGGCACGAACAAAAACCAAACTCTATAAGTCACTCATTATTCCCGTCCTGCTATATAGAGCAGAGGCATGGACGATGAGCACATCTGACGATGACACACATGATTCGACGTTACGAAGAAGAAGTGCCATGTCCATCTATCTGTCTGTTTATAGGGGAACTTGTCTCTAATTTTGGGATATCAATCTAAAATTTTGTAAACGTTTTTTTCTCTTCAAGATGCTGCTCACTTCTCAATCGGATCGTCATATAACTGTCATACAAACTGGTTGATAAAAAATCAAGTTCTTGTATGGAAAACCATATTATTTGAAGATATCCTCACTAAATTGCTACAATCTCTGAAGTTTATCGAAGTTTATAGCCCACATTTTATGTACCATGCAAACTGACCGATCAAAATTGTGAAGAGATCTTTGTGTACTAGTTTATGCTACAAGAAACTCGCCTGTGAAGGGTATTATAGCTTCGGAACAGCTGAAGTTGACGTTTTTTCATGTTTTTTATTGATAACGCTATTTTTGATATATAAACGTTAATCACAGTTAAATGTTTGTAGCTAAAGTTGTGTTGGTCGGTCTATCGAGTCAATTATTTTCGCTTAATCTTTTGATGATTATCACTGTATATACGCATGTATCCGTATAACCAATAAAGCTTAAAATTATTATTCAGACATCCATAAATTTGTCGGATTGTGTGTTTTAGTTCTATACTGAGCACTTTATTGGTTCTTCTTCCATTTCATGAGCTGGCCTTCATTTTATCCTAAATAAACAGGATCGTCACGCTTTAGTCAACTTTAAATATCTGATGGATTTTTAGTAGAGATTCTTAGCTTCATCTTAGAAGAAGCACTCGAACTTCATACAATGCAGAACATTCACATCCATTTGCAGTTATCCCTCAGATCACAACCTGAAAACTGCAGCGAAAAACGACAATAAGTGAACGAGTGCACAAAGTACACATCATTTCTCCCTTAAGTTAAGTTAATTGCACTAAATCGCTTACAAAAAAAAAAAAAACTCCAGCGGCATTAGTTGTACCATTAATATCCTTTCAATTTATTTAATAATATTTATAATTTTTATATACTATATATGCATGTAATTATTTAATAATGAAATCTTATATTGCAATTATATATTTACAGATTACAGTTAAATTTGGAGCTTCACTCAACCACATTCAATTCACATATACCACTTCCCTCGCCATCAATTTCCGTCAATTTCCGTCAATTATTCGATTTTTATTTAAATTTGAAAATTTCTTTGTCATCCATGGGCCGCACAAGAGCCGTTTTATGCACATTAGGGTGTCTCGACACGCAATTATTTTTTTTTATAATAAAGCAAAGTTTTTTGAAGTAACATTTGTGCACCGAAACAACCAGCCAAAGCGTGTTTGAAAATTTATATAAAAATAAGAAGATAAACTGAAAAAAAGTTGCTCATACCGATTTTTTAGGTTAAATATTTTTCGGACATATTTTAAATTAATTTAAAGACAACAATTTTCAAAAAAACGCTAGCGCACCCAAATACTTGTAGTTCTTTTTACTTCATCTTACTAAACGCTTATTACCTTATTATATCAGACACCCCGCAGTACATATGTCCGAGTATATACTGTATACATGTATGTTTGTATACTTATGCACCGTGATGCTAGCGGTCACAAAATGGCTGGCCATTGTTTGCTATTGCATAAAAACTAAAGCTCTTTGCCACAATGCGTTTATGATTTGTTTCTTTTTTTGTTTTTGTTTGAAAAATATTTAGTTCCTAACCTAAGACAAAAAATAATTTCCCATTTCTTAGTACATACTATAAATTGTATAAAATGTCAAAAATGTTTGCTTTTTACCATATTTTTTTTTTTTTTTTTTTTGTTTTTTATATTTTTTTTTTTTTTTTGTTCGGAATCCTTTACTTAGTTTGTGTTGTTGGTATGACATATAATATATTTGATATTTGATGAGTAGATGCGTAGTAAATATGAGAATTGAGTAGAGCATGAATGCTTGTATGTTTGTATTGCATGGTGGTTAGTTGTAGTTATGGACGAGTGATGATGGTTAGCGATAAGATGTGACAAGTACGATGGAGGCAAGCAAAGGTGATTAGATTTATAAAAGAGCGAAGCTTTCGAAGGATTTACCAATGATTATGTATGTATGTATGTGGCGTATATGAATATTTTCGATTGATTTAACTGGATTTACTATCGCTTAATGAATGTATTGTAGGTATGTATATACATATGTATATTATTGCTATTTGAATAAAGGTCTTATATGTTTATAAGATTTTTCCTTTGGTCACAAATATGAATGTTTGGCACTTGGAAGAGTGGTTCAGTTAATAAGTTTTATTTTGTTAAATATGGTTTTTTTTAAGTTAAATAAACACGAAAATAATTTAAATGTAAATTAACGATTAAAATAGAAAACCAAAAAAAAAAAAAATAAAAAAAAAAAAAAAAAAAAAAAAAAAAAAAAAAAAAAAAAAAAAAAAAAAAAAAAAAAAATTAAAAAAACATTTTGTTTTATGTTTCAGTCACGGAAAAGGTTCAAAATTTTTTTGCGCCCTTGGAGATCGCCTGTAACTAGAAAAATATTTAACTTTTTCCTTCTAAAAATGTAATGCGTCTTTTTAAAAAATATATAAATGTACTTCTAAAATGTTAAAATATTTAATACGGTGTATTTTCTTTCGATTTCCAAAAATCGACTCTTTGGACTTCAACATTAGGTGTTCCTCTTAAAATGTCTCCTTGCAACAAATTTAATTTTCTAAAGTACTATTTAAAATAAAAAATGTATTTTTTAGTAGCTGAAAGTGTTTTGAGACCAAACGGTACTTTTCCTGCTGTAAAAACAAGTAAAAAGTTTTAAAATAAAATTTAACCTTAATTTTCTGTTTGGATATACTATTTACATATGCAAGTGAGTTAAAATAAATAAATATTCGAAAAAAATAATATAATCTAGTTCTTCTAGCTAGAGAAACTTTTCAATTCTTTTAAATTAAAATATTGTCCAAGTAAATAAATCAACAAAAAATATACCGTAAGATTTATAATGAAAATCAAAGTTTACTTTAAATCGCCATACTGTTGCTGCGGATGCATTTGTATTTATTCTTTGATATTTTTATTTTTTGCATGAAGGTACTTAAGCTTATAGCGTACTAACACACTTAGATAATCGCTTGCTCATTTATGCATATAGTTTATTTAACTTTGCGGCAATAATTTATTTATTTTTGTTTATTTTTAAATTGTTTATCTACGTTTATCTGCTCTTCGACGGCAATACTCAAACACATTTTTCATTTCCCCATAGAGTTAACAATTAATTTTCATACATACATGCGCTTTATAGCTGTCATCACACTCTCAAATATATGTATGTATGTACAATCATCCATATCCATTTATACATACACATATGTACTAATATATAATTATATTGTATATAACTCGCTGCCTAGCAACAATAAGCGCCAACAGCACTTTGTATTTACACAACCAAGAACTTTTCGATTTAGTATTTTTACTAATATTTTTAATAAAAATAAATCATAAATTTTATTTAATTCATATGCGCCTAAAAGTAGGCTTTAACATACGTTCCGTGGTTCGTCGCTAATTATCAAGAGCAAAGAATTTTGCAATTATTGCAGATAATATTGCTGGCAACATGTTGCCATGACAAATGCTGCATAAGGCAAAACCGATTGGCAAAAAAATGTGGTATAAGAGCAGAGCCGATATTATAAAGCTATTTTTTGGAAACAAAAATATGTTATTTACTGTTATATAATATATAAATGTTGAAATAAAAACAATCGCCGAAATAATGATAAATAATAGTAGTAAATTTCCGAAAAACGTTTGGTATTACAATAATTAAAAAATAAAAATTAATTTTTTTATTTATTTATTTTAAATTAATTTTTTTATTTATTTATTTTAAACTTTTCTAACATAACGTGTGAGAACTATTTTTATTAAATTTTTATTATTTTCTTCAAGTTGAATAAACCAAATTGAAATGATAGTTTAAAGAAAACTTAATGCACTAAGAAATTTTTCATCAGGTCCTTAAAAGTTGATGTGCAGCTCCATTCTTTAAAATGAAATATTTATACAAAAAAAAAAGAAAAAAAAAAAAAATAACAACAAACGAAGAGAATAAACTCAAATATGTGTGTGTTTATAAAAAATGTCAATTTATTATATTTCGCTTTTTTTGTTGAATGAATTGCAAAGTTACGATGCGTTTTATTTTATAGGCGATTCTCTTTTATGCTCAAAAATTCAATTCGTACAATCGTAAGTAAATATTTATGTTATAACTATGCATGTACATATGTATGTATGTATTATTGGCGTTTCATTCATATTTTATAATATTAGGCAAATTGTATACATTTATTATATAATATTATACTGATGTACATATGTAGGTACATATGTATGTATATTGAAGGCTTAGCAAATTAAAATATTATTATATACATTCATATGGTTACGTCTTACAAGTATATTTAAATATAAAATATTCACATCTCCTTTAATTAATAACAGTATTGTTAAACGTTGAAGGAAGTTCAAAGATGAATCGTAGGAGAAAATAGTGCACTTTTTACAGTTGCAAGTGTGGCTTTCTATTTACTTATGAACGTATGCAATGTGGGTGTGTGTTTATGTATGTGTTACATGTTACGTTGGGCGTACGCGTATATACTTAACTTTTTTATTTTGATTGTTTTCAATGTCGAAGAAGTATAATTTTCAATGGAAATTTTTACAAAGATCTCACTTATTTATAAATATATTATTTTTTGCTATTAAATATAGTCCGAATTTATAAGACTGCTTATTATACTAATTAGTGCCAAACGATTTTATAATTAATTGAATTTTTCATGCTTTTTTAAGATGTAGGAAAAAGTTGTTATCTCCAACAATAATTACAAATATTTAGTACTGAGTTTTCAATGCATTAAATAGTCGAAGATTTCACCGTTAAACGTCACATACAAACGGTTTTTCCGTTTTACGTTACTGCTATTTCTTTTTAGTTCGGTTTGATTCCATTTAGAGTTTTTTTTATTTTTGCGTTCTGGTTTACCAGCTGGCACTTTAAGCGCGCTCTTTGCTCCTGCTTACAAGCTTCGAGAAATTGAATACTATAAGTTTAAAAGTGTGTATACAGTTTCGAAACTATATCAAACGGTCTTTGAATATATATTATATTGAATATTTTAGCTATTTATTACTAAATTCACTTAGTTTAGTTACTTTAATTATTATTCATTAAACGCATATTTCTAAGCTATAAAATGTATATGTACAGAAAGTTTGCTTTATCTCATAAAAAAGTAGACATTACAGCAGTAAAAACGAGCGGCACATATATATGTTGGAATATTTATTCGTAAACATGTACAGTTATATGTATGCTTTTTTCACATTTTTTCTTATGCAAAACTATAACGAATGTACATACTCCGCGCTAAGGCGGTAATAAACGCATTTATTTTTTCATTTCTTAAGACATTTTCGACCTTTTTAAAACAAATATTTTCCCATTTTGGTATTCATACTATTACATATGTATATGTATATTAAAGCGCATACTTTTTAATATGAAATACATACGTACATGTGGCGCTGTGAAACGTGAATGCTGGCAAATATCAATTTTGAATAATTAAAAACAAAAATATATACAAATCATATACAAATACAAAGGGAAATAAATATCCGACCCGCTATCTTAAACCATTAAACGCCTATAACGAAAATATAATGCATACCATTCGATATTTTAATTTTTAATTTTTTCACGCATATTCAGGAAACTCATAATCGTGCCCTGGCTTAGAGTTTACCTTGGCTTGTAGTTGCGTTACTAAAACGCAAAAAAAATGGTTGAAAGCTAGCTATGTCGTAAACTTTTATACTAGCAACCGCTTTGCTAATTAATAACTGTTTATTTTTTAAGTAAAGGATATGTCTCAAAAATATATTTTCATTAAGGTTAGAAAGAAAAAATAAATAAATAAACTAAAAATTGCGCCTTTCAAACTGTTCCTTCGCTAAAACGAAACTTTTTAATACTCTTTTTGAAACCACGAAAAATAAAAGTTCAAACTTATGCTCTGTACTATTCCGAAAAAGCAAATCTAGCTAAAGTAAAAGTACAAATTCATATATTTTACATGGAAATGTATTCAAATGTATTGATGATTTCTTTAACATTATATCGCCAGCCAACTCAGCCGCATTGAATGTGGTTAACAGGTCTTTTTCTTTTCGTTCAAAATATGCGATTGTGCGCGCTATTCAACGCTTTAAAATATTTATTCAAGTGTATTTACACATATTACTCGCACTATTATTGTTTTTTAAGCAACACACAACAATATCCATATAAACATAGTACACTCAAAACTAATTACTATATTATATTAATGTATGTAGATTTTAGAAATATTTACTATATTTGCATATAAGTATATACAAAAAAGGAAGGTATACAGTAGTGAAGAAGAAACTTTCGGTGCAGGAAATTCGCAAAGCATTGCTTTATCCTTCGGGGTGACGCATGCAGTAGCACTAGTATTCTTCTTGTTTGCATTCACATTATCTAACAAAACTACAGTCAGTCAATCAGTCAGTTAATTTGTCAGTCGCAACGACACATTCTTGTTTTGATTTCTTTTTTCCTTTATAAAAATTATCAACACAAAATACACATAAGTAATACATACTGCTACCCAACACAATCTTTACGGCTTGGCCGCTGTGGTCAACGCTGCCCAGCGCCATGCACTATCCATTCGCTCCCTTGACATTTATGTATTTATTTGCAACTCGGCTAACGCAGAAGCATGTCTAGTATCGCCTTAGTATCACCTTAAATTTTCATGAAAAACCTTTCTCACAATATGCCATTCGTATAGTATTGATAGCCATCGTATAACTTTGTGGAGAGGCTCTTGAGTGAGTCCTGTACGAGTTGCTCTACTTTGCGCTCCATTTCCTGTTCGGTCAAATTCATGTGGAAACGTTTTCGGAGATTCTGTACGGTGCCAGAGCAACCGTTTTTGAAGCACGGCAATTGGGCATCTGGAATAAAGTAGAAGATACACAATTACTGGTTGCTCTTTCTTAATGGCCACACTCGAACTTACTGCTACGCATTATTTCCACAAAATTTATGATTCGATCCATGTGCTTGCGCGCAGTCATCATACCAACAAGCAATAAGTGATTGAACTCCTTCCACAGGTCTGAACTCGTACCGCCCATGACGTCAACGAATTCGGGTGTTAGTTTAAAAGGAGATTGCTCAAAACCTATAAGTGATAAATGTGACACAAATTTTAAAATAAAATAAAACGGGAAGCTTAATAATTGAGTTTTTCGAATGCTATACTTGGAAAATAAATGGCGCAAGGGGTTTTAAGGGTCAGAGTGGTTGGACACTGATGTGCATTACAACTAACTGCCACAAATATTACAATTTATTTATCTTTTTCTTACCCAAATTTTTTGGCGATATGCTTAGTATGAATCCAAAGTCTATATGTATGATGTGACCGTCTGAATGTAGTAAAATGTTGCCATTGTGCCTGTTTCATAAAGAAAAAATCGTTAAGTTTTGTCTGCAAAATTTCCATTAACTAATCACATACCGATCCTTCACTTGCAGCAAATACGATATTAAACAGTAAGCAGCACAACTTTGCACGAAATTCTTTTGTGCCGCACGGAAAAGTTCGCCATCTGCTGAGCCATACTCGTCGATGAAATAATCGCGTAACGATTTATTCGAATTCTTTTTAATTTGATGCAGTGACACCGTGTTCAAAATTGGTTCAATCAGACCGCTATCGCTGGATAAGCAAACAATTTTGTACGGTCGCACCCAGAGATCAACATTTTCCTCTTGCCAAATGATTTTGAACATCTAAAACGAAGAGAAAATTAGCATTACAAATGGAATTGTTGGGAATGTTTGGGCTGAAGGGTTTTACAAACCTGTAAAAGTTGCGTAGCCATGAGCTCCTGTCGCAAATCGTCGCCACATTTTACAATTACCGAGAGCAGGCGCCAATTGGACAAATGGCCGTAAGGCGATGACTCGCGTATCTGTTGCTCCTTTTCATGCCAGGGCTCCTGCGATTTAGTTAAAATTATTTATTTGCATTTTGAGTAATTTTTCTTAAAGTAAATACCTTCAAAGCTGCCGCTGAGGGATCTTCTGGATCATTGTTGAATGATTTTGTGTTTTCGCAGGTTAAGTTATTGCAGTGGCGGGTGCGTACATCGCCAATATTGAAAAGAACGGGAATGCCTGAAAATTGTGTGCAATTAGTTTAAGATATTTCTATTCCCAGAGATTCCCATTTTATAAATCATTATTATCGCAAACATACCTTGATCCCTTGAGTCACAGGAGTCCAGTGACATTTGAGAGACTGCATCTCGTTCGCTTAATTTTCGCATATGCATATATTGTGCCGTTATTTCGTCGTCCTCCTGCGACCACACATCGTCTTCGGTTAAATGCAGGCCACCTAGGGAGAGACCTATTGCCTGGGCGTTGCATACATGTGCACCATCGCCGTTAGCAGCTGTTGAAGCTTGGGCATCCGATGCCACGGACGATGACTCAGAGAGCAGTTTCTCCTTTTTACGACGACAACTGGAGCCGGAGCTTGAACCGCTAATAGCAGCGCCACCATGTGAGCTACAGCTCGATGTGCGGCTGCAACTCACATGGTTGTGGCTGTGATTGTGCTGATGCATTTGATGGTGATGGCTGCAGGCGCCTTCCAAGTGCTCCTCGCTTTTCGTATGTCGCAGTGATGGCATCATCTTCGGTATGAGTGGGGATGAGTAAATATCGGGCACCTCAACCACCTCGACGTAAATTATGTACGGCGTTTTATCTTTGGAGTTGAGCACGGCAGTCTTTTCCTCTGTTATGCGCACCACATGATGTGGAATGTCGGAAAATACCGGAAGCCAAACGCGAGCCGGCAGATTCTTATTAATCAGGTTCAAAAACATGCGTAGCGCTGAAGTTTTCTCCGCCTTGGACGGTAGCGATGTGATATTTTTCCCAACATTAATCAGAGCTTTCATGAACTCTTTCTCCGGGGCAGTTTTAGGCGCGTTGCATGAGCACACGGTTTTCTGGCCAAGCAGGCCATTAACCTGAGGAGCGAAAAAATTATTTTTTATTAAATAATATCCACAAGATGGAATATGAAAAATATGATAGCACTCACCTGGCCGCGTACGCTATCGAAGCAGGTGCAACCATTGTCGAAGGCTCGCCCAGAGGTCAAGTCACCCAAACACAACTTGGGCGATATCAGCGGCAGGGTTTGCGTTGTGTATGGCGGTTGTTGGTAGTGACGATTTGATATGCTTAGTGCGATGGATGAGGGGTGGCGTCGTGAATCACTTAACAGTAGTGTGGCGTCAGATTGTGAACGATGGTGTGTCTTTTTTGTCAACGGTGAAACGGCTGCGGCAGCCACAGCACCGCCTGCTGCTGGTGGCAGCTCCTTAGCGTCCGATTTACTTATTACTTTACGTTCTTTCTTCGAATAGATTTCCTTCATGAGGGCTAGTTGCGATTTTCGTGATCCATTGCCTAGTGAGTCGAATTGATAATTGTAGGATTCTAGTAGCCAGAGGCATTTCAATGAGAAGTCCACCGATTTGCGACAACGTATTGTCAAATAAGGATCGAGCACTTCGGCCAATTCATCCATTTGTATGTACATGACAATTAACTGTGGCATATAGAGGTCTACCTCTTGGTCCGGAAAACTGAATATCTTATTACCAATAAAACTGAGCACACCGGGTTCTTTCGAATAGAATAGATAGTGTATAGCGAAGTGTATGTTGAAGACGGGAGATTCGAAGAATCTAAGCAGTCCACTGGGGCCTTTTTCAGTCTTTTGCAATTGCTCGTTGTTGGTCGGACGCTCCTTGATAAAGCATTTTACCACACCTGGAACTTTTAACTTGTTTAACGAAGAGATGGAAGCCGATTTGGCAATAGAGGTTGACAAAGAGGAAGCGCCGAGACCTGGCAGGGGGAGATTAAGTGTTCTCTCCGTACCTTCTGTAGCAGCACAAGCTTTCTTCTCCACACTTTCTATCGCGGAAGACACTAAAGATGGAAACTTTGGATATTTCGGCTCAACTGGCGTTGAATCGGCTGATGGAGTGGCGGCTGGCGTATTGGAAGCAGATGGTTGCGCAGAAGTCGCAGCAGCCGCAGCTGCAGCTGCCGCGGCAGCAGCTTTCTTGATCGAATTCGATGTTATCAGACTAAAGAACTCTTTTTTCTTCGATATATCTGTTGGAGATTTCACTTGGTCCGGGGCTGTGCTGGTACCCATGTTGCCACCACTGTTTTCATCGCTCTTATTCTTTGCTGCATTCTTTTTGTCGTGATTATCTCTAATGCTTTGTGCGGTGCGGAAGAAAGCATTCTTTGTTGCACCAAAGAAGCTCTTTTTCTGCGGTTCAGCAGCAGCGCCAGCTCCTGCCGCATCTGGGATTTTTTGTGTCTTCGCTGACTGTGTGGGTTGTGTTGTTAAAGCGACACTCGTAGAGCTCGTCGAAGTTAATAGTGGGTTTGGCTGTATCGTTACTGGTGTGGCCGCATCCACTGTATCAGCCGTGGGTGTGTCCACATCGACATTAAGCGTGGTAGGTGTATCATTGTTCGCACGTTCCAAATTCAATGCTGCCTGTGACATGTTCAATTCGCGATAGCGCATACGTTCCGACAATTGTGCCGCTGCTTTGACGTCGATGTCTGCATCACTGTCATCTTCAGCGGCGCCCATTACATCCGCATCGGTAGTAGCGCTGCGCAGGTGTTTGCCATGATTTTGTTGTTGTTGAAGTTGCTTCTGCTTGCGTGATGGACGTAGCGTTCGACAGTCTGTTTCGCCGGATGGGTAAAATATCAAGTCCGACTGTAGCATACCATATTCCTCATCCATAGAAGTTGTTTCGAGCATGTCAATGCATTCCTCCTCGGCGTCCATTTCACCCGAGTCCAGCGATTCGTGTGAGTGACGTATGCGAGTGAGAGAAATTTGATCCGAATCGGAACCACAAATTATGCCTTTGTTTGAGCGAGAAAATTAAAAGTAAGTTTGTACACTTTGTTTGACAGAAAGTTTGTGAAATTATGAATAGTGTGTGCAACATATTAAAAAATATAAATAAATAAAAACGAAAAATTATTTGTTTCGAAAGAAGGGATTTGAATTAATGTTACTACATTGTATTACTATAATAACAATAATACAAATATATAATCTGGCAACGCCTCTTGATGAAAATGGACTTTCACAATCATATTTTCGATTTCTTGTGCAAATTTCCTGAATCATTTTGCTTTTAATTGTCAATTAAAAGACTATCAAAATCGACAAAATGTTGACTTTAATGAAAGAAGACTTTGAGGCAATAAGAATGGCGTTATTTGAAGATTGTCATTTTCTTGTAACTATATACGAACACTCTTCAACCAAATTTATTGCTCACCTGAATCATCGGATCCGAGACTGGTGAGGTCTTCTCGTTTTTTACTGCTACTGCTGCTGCCGTTACTATTGTTGCTGCTGGTGTTGTTGCTATGATTCCTGCACGATGCCGCACCTGCAAGCGGCACTACTCCACAACGTGTCGTGGCCTCACTCGATTTAGGACGAATGCGTAACGTTGGGCAGGACTCGACTGCAAGAAAAATAAATGAATAAATAGCATCGAAATAATTGCAAAATAAACAAGCTAATGAGACTTGAAAAAAGTATAAAAGTTAACTGGACTTACCAATAGCTATGGCCCCACCCCCACCAATACCAATACTACTGTTGCACACGCCGCTGCCGATTTTGTTAATGCTTATGCTGTTGCTGTTGTTGGCTGTGGGCTCTGTGGTCATAGCTGCAATTGGGGCAGCAGACACTGTGTCCATTAAACCACCTGTTATGGTCGACACTCTAGCTGGGGTAGCCGATAACGAGGATGGCGGCGAAGGTGTTAATGATGACGTCAGCGCTGGTGTTGTGGTGGTTGTGAGGGCGGCTGTTACATTGGCTGCAGTAGTGACGATTTTCGAGCACATAGTAGTGCCCAGAATGGATGGTGTACAGAATGTATTCTCGCTCTCCGAATTGGGCGATGACACTTCAACCTGCCGATACACGATAAATAGAAAAGGGAATTTCGTAATTAGTGCGGTTGCCCGATAAAATTAATGGCACACAATTTTTGTGAAACATTAAATTATTAATAATAAACTAGAATAGAATGCTATAAAGATATATACATACATATATGTATATAAATGAATATGGAGTTGCATTTGTGAGGAGATTCCGATAAGACTCTAGAGCTACATTTCTAAGTACCGTTAATGATAATGTTAATATACCACTTTTACGTAGATTCTTCAGGGAAAATACAATTTTGATATTACTAATCACTTTCGTAATTTCCATTCACCGGTTTCGTTAAATAAACAAAAGAAATTTTTGCCATAGATAACAATATAGATTATTTGTAATGTAAAATAATAAAACTTGTAGCTTGCGCGAATTTGTATAATATAATAAATTTTTATCAAGCCTAAACTGTCACTTGATAACCGCGCAAAGAAGAAGAAACTGTCACCTGTCTTTGCGATCTTTTTTATTGTAGTCAACACTTTACCACATACATATATGGCGGCAAATTTTAATGTTGCGCTAAGTTTGGCACACCCTTTATGGACCGAAAGCGAGAAGAATAAGCACAGCACGAAACCATACAAGTTTATTGTAGCAAACAAAATGCAAAGTATAACAAACACATTATTCAAAAACTGACTCTGCTACTATGTACATGTGTATGAGTGCATGTATGAATACACAACTGTCATCTCGAACATACCATATGTTGCATTGCAAAAATTTCCATTCTGCAAGTATTATTAACAAGTTTTTCTAAATTTTGCATAGAACTTCGTTTTTGTAGAAACTCAAATATATTCCGTGAATTAGGCAAATGACATTAAAGCATTCACATTTCTTAACAAGAGTACAATAAAGGAACAAATAATTCCTTTTATAAATTCAACTTCTTTTCTGCTTTCTAAGTTACTGTAATTTTTTTTTCGTCATTAAGCTCGCTCATTTTGCCTTTGCAATTTGTGATAGCCCTAGAAGTCAAATGTGCTGGCATAAACTGCTTGCGTGTCACGAGCGCCTACGCAGGGTTTCGAATGTTTCCTGTGTGGCAGGTTCATGTTCATTCAACCTTCGATATAATAATTTTTGGCATTTTACGTTTTTTTTTCATTGTTTTTAATGTTATTTGCTTTGCTTGTTATGTACTCACCTCCGGTATGCGCTGCAAGGCGCTGTCCAGGCTTCGATTGCGATGATGTTGCGTTAAATTGATGCGTGTGTTGGTCACTTGTGAGACGGGAGGCAGCAAAATGCCCATAGACCTAGAAGAGGAAAAAACGGATTTGAAGTTTTAAGAAGTGTTATACATATATGTACATTTCTTATATACATATGTATGTATATGTGTGTATGTTTGTATATTATTGAAAAAAGAAAAACAAATTAAATATTCTAGAGAAGATTATTAGCACAACTGACTCATTGGCGGATTCAAGAATCCAGCCAATATTTCTAAAGTGCCTAAACGAGAGACAAAATACTGCCTATTTTGGTTTGAACGGAGAAAGTTTCTTAACGATCCGTGAAGCATATGTTGAGGCAAATTTCGAGATTTAAGCTATGACAACAGGTTTGTAAGTCAGATTAAAAATAGTTATGCCACTGGATTTCCAAAAGTAAAACAAATACATTTTTAATTTTGTTCAATGGCAAGAAACCATTTTGACGGATATGAAGATGCAGCAAACAAATATATGTATAAGTAAAGAAACTGTTTGTAAGTGTTTCCGTTAAATTTTTAGGTTATGCTAACTAAAGTAGTTTACATATTACAAAAAACTCGATTTCATAGTTTAGCAGAACTTCCAATTTCTAATGAAAATGAAAATCAGTTAAAATTTCACAGAAATTCTGCTTATCGTTACTAAACACTTGTTGTATTGTTTTTCTCTAATATGTACATATACATATGTAAATGTTTGTATGCACATTTATAATTTTTTTTTCAATGCAACTGGATGGTGTGGCATTTCATTCTTATAAATATGTATGTATTTATTGTAGAAAACTAATCACAATTAATATTTATGGTTGTGTGCATATGCACTTATCATATTCTGTGTAATAATTACACTTGACACAAATGTATGTATGTATGCGCGTGAAGCGTTTGCAAGAATGACAGTAAAAAGCTTGTTAAAAGTGACTGCGGCACAATGAGAACAATAAGAATTGCATAAAAAACATATTGATGAACGACACACATACACATATTTGTAAGTATGTATATATAAAATTATTTCAGTTCAGCAGGCAGCCAAAAACGTTTTGTTCACTTAAAAATCAATAACACAGTAGACTAAAGTGTTAGCATATTTACTGCTCTAATTGCATTACGTCCATATGTATGTTTGTATGTATGAACATATTTCCACGAAGTACATATTTTAGAACATATTTAAAACTGGTTGAACGGCTTTTAAGCCATCACACCACACAGCAAAAATGTAATACTTAATTGTTTCTCATACATATAGTACATATGTATATAGATACATATAGCCAAATATATATGGATTTGTATAGAAACACTTGCTCTTTGTTTTATTGTTGGCATTAATCAGCGAAACATATTGATAATTCCACATATTTTTACTTATTTGAATTGGCACGTTTGTTTCTCCTTTTTTTTTGTTGGTGTTTTCCTAATAATTCCACACAATTTAGCTTTATTATTTTGCACTCGAACATGTATTTTGTGTTTTGCCTGAGCAATATGGCAGACGGCAGGCGCTTGATGTGGCGAAAAAGTTGGCATACTCACGTACACATGCACTATTTACTCTTTGATTGTTATATGAGTGTGAAGTATTTTCACGCAAATGCACAATCAATTTTTAAAGTCGACAGAAACTAGCTTTGGCTCAAAATTAAAAAAAAAAAAGGTTTTTCTACTAACCAGTGCGCCAGCAGCGAAAAATCAGCTGATTAACTAACACGCACACACTCACTGCTCAGCTCTTCACCGTCTCACATGCATATTTAATAACCTCAAACTAACTTTTATTGTTGTTTTTATAGTTTAGTTATAAATATTTTTTATTTTAAATGTCTCACTTCAAGTACTTTCGTTCGATGTGATTTTTTATATACTTTTTTCTCGTTTCTATTGACCGTTTGCCCCAAAACACAAACTTGGAGGTTTCACGCTTGCTGACTAACTAAATACGGCGCCAGAGTAATTGGCGGCGGCAAAAAGCATATGATTGAGTAAGCAGGGACACTGCGAGCCAGTAACGAGTACACAGGGTGCATGTGGCGAGAGCTTATGCCGATGAGAGCGTAAAAATGTGTTTTGAAGTGCTCGAGAGCGAGCGAGTGTGCTAGAAAGACAAATGAAGAGAGTTAGGTGCATGAGGGGTGTTGGGCGAGTAAAGAAGGTGCAAATAATTGGAGAAATTGAAACGAAAAAACCCAGCCGCTACTAATAGTTATAACAATAATGGAAGCAATATTAATAAGTGCATATAATATTAATAGTAAAAAAAAAAAACAGTGTGTAAGTGCAAAATACTGCAAAGAGCATGATAATATAGCAGTCACTTGTATACTTGCATGCATGTGGTTGTGAATTTGTTGTGGTAAATCAACAATCGGCACAAATTCGGTATGTTTATACGTCAGATACTAAGAAAGTCAACAACAAAGCGGAAAATGAAGAAACAAATACTAAATACATTAACACATTTATACGTTTTTGAACACTACTCTCGAAAACGAAATGAAAGTTAATGTGTTTTAAATACTTTTGTGTAAACTTAATTTTATTTATTTACTTTTTTATTTTATTATTTTATTATTATTTTTTTAAATCTTTAACATTTTTTTATATACGAATTTACGAATTAATTTTTATTTATACAAAATAATGTATATTAATATTCATATATGCACATTCATTTGCAAAAATAATAACAAATGAAAACGCATATCATTTACAATAATTTAATTTGATTCTATATTTTGAATCTCCTTGAACCGATACTACTTATGAATATATAAGTATAAAGACCTGTGTATGCAAATATGCAATTTAAATTTCTTGATTTTCGTTTTATAGATTTTGTTATCATAAACTGTTCTTGCTTTGCCAATGCACAAATGTACCTTTCAGAACACGAACCTCAGAAGAGTCTCTCCCACCAACAGATGTGTACTAAATTGAGCGCCTACAAATTCTCCCGACGAAGTTCTCTTACATACTGCGATTGTACATGGCCTTTGCTACTTTTACGCCAATAGGTATGTAAGTATGAGGGGACTCACTCACCAGCACTCGGGTGCAAGAAAATAAAACAAAACAAAAGTTTGGCGCTCGTGGCAATTGAATGAAAGAAATAGATAAAAAAAAAATTATCAGTAGTAACGCGTACACGGACAATTGTATGCAAAAACAAAACAAAACACTGTAAATAAGTGGCACCTTCATAACGGTAAAAATCATACTTGTATCATACTAGAACTTCCTTAAGTTTCGAAAAAGGGAAAATTACTTGAAAACCAATGTATTATAAATATCGGCTATCAGTAAATTAGTAGTAGCGCACAAAAAAAAAATATATATATAAAAACACAACAACAAAATGTTTTTTCAAACGAAAACAGCTTGCACAGTTATAAAGTGGCATTTCTGTTTTACTTGTTACATTCGTACCGCCAAAAGTTATTAAATGCCGCAAGTCGAAGACCGAGAAGTTGCCGAGAAAGCATAAAGAAAAATAGCATAGCAGTGCCTGCACGTTATTTCCTACCCAACGGTGCTTTGCACTCAATTTGCAACAAATTTTCCACACCTTGCAAACAGATTGCAGGATATGCGCTTGTGATAGGAAGCCTGACAACACGGCGTATACGCAACTTTTAATTAAAAACTTTCTATACACACATATTGAACATACATATTTATATATGTACACAAACGTGGTAAATCTGCATGCTAAAAGATGTACTAGTTTGTAAAGTCACCTTACTGCCTTCGGAGACTTGTAGCAA